GTGCCCCCCGCTAACACCCCCCCCGCCGGTCTCGCGGCTGCCCCGCGGCGCGGCCCCGGCGGCGGCAGGACTGGGTCTCCGCCGGGGAGGGCGGCGTCGCGCCAACCTGCCTTCTCGCCGCCTTGTGCCGCGGTTACGATCTTCGCAGTTTTAACAGAACTGCAGATCACTCTCGCAGGTATTGAAATATTTCGCTTATAGTTCTGCTGCTGCGGTTGTCACCTTCGCTTCACGTCAAATTTGAGACTCGTTTCATAAGGATGTCTCTATTTTCTGCTTTATTTGCACGTTGATAGCTCTGCGGAGCGGCTAGTCACAGCAACTCCTTCCTCCGAGAGAGGCATGTTAAAATGTGGGAGCCTAGGACTAATCTGCTTTGCAGGACTTTTCAGTCTCTCCCTTTGATTAAAGGGAAGTAAGTTCATTTTAAGACTCTCATTTCCTTGTTTACGTAGCTCTGACAGTTTTATTAACAAATACGGAGCTTTGAGGATACGTTCGCTTTTTCTCCTTGTGTTTACTGAAGGTAGGAGCATTTAAAAGTGTGGGTATGTTCTTCTCGTCAGGAGTCTGCTTTCTAGGTGCCAGTGAAATGATGTAACTGCAGCCTGATGTTAAAATCCTGTGCCTTATGTATTTTTATCAGTATTTCTTAAAAGCTAGACTGTTAATACAATAGAAGAAACGTTTAACGTTCACGTTTGACTTAACGGTGGGTAGGATTTACAGGCTAGCTCTGCAGTCATCCTTGTATTTAAATTAAGGCTTATGCATTTAAATTCAGCTGTATAAATAATTAAAAATCGCTGGTTTTGTAGCCTTCAGTCTGAAGGGCAGATCCTGCAAAGCTTTTTAAAATGTTCCTTGCTTACGTTAGTAGTCTGACTCCAATTGGATTTGCAACATGAGTGAAACTTGGATTTGAGATAACCACACAAAATGCGGTGACCTAAAATGTAACAATGTTTGAACTTGCATATTTGTTTTTCTACACTGGTTTCATTTACATAATTTCATTTAGGATGTGCAAACATATGTGGTACAGTGTAAAATAGCTTAATGAAATAGTGCATGAATGTATAAGAGGGATCAGCTGTGAATATCTTCCTTCTGGGAGGGAAAAAGGGGGGCAGGGTCATCTTGCAAATGACAGCAAACAATACATTTAGAAAGTGCAACCGTTGATAGTTTCTAACTGCAAGTGGTATGACTGCAGGTGGTTTGTAGTGGATGGAGTTAAACATAGATATTTTGGATATGATATAACTTAATTTAATTACTTTAATAGCTACTTTCTGTTGAAACTTTAAGATCTAAGAATCCTACTTTTATTGCAGTCTTTAAAGATCTAATTGTTCTTGTGTGCGTCTGAGATGTAAAACTAGTGCAAGGAAAGGCAACAGATTGGTTCTGTCATATGATTTTGTTGTTGTTGTTGGTTTTTTTTTTTTGAGTATACTTAGAAGATTATGATGGATAATGCTGTCTTGCCAAAGAATGCCGACACAGGTGTTCATCATTATCTTAATTAAGATCCTGAGAAAATGTCATCTTTCGGCATGAATTATGAAGGGAGATGCATTAGGAGATCGTTTCAACATTTTTTTTTCTTTTTTCAGGGGTAGAGGAGAAGGAAGCTGTTTTCTCAGACCACTTTTAATATTTCTTTAACACAATACTTGACTGTAGACACTTAATGATTAATTATTTCCCCCTTCCAATTTGTGAATATGTTAGAGAGGTACATATACAACTTAAAGGAGTTCTTTTTCTTTTGTTTAAAAAAAAAAAAGAATTCCCCCTTAAATACCCTCTATTCTTTTTAAAGCTAGCTGCTATAAACAAATACTAAAACTTAAAATATGTTGTAAGTTGACTGCTAAGAGGTGTTTTCTGTAGTGTATTTAAAAGTATTAACAATTCACGCTAACAGCAGAACAAAACAAATGCATAGGTGTTTTATATCTATGAATGTACAGCTTTTTAATTAAACATGAAGCAAAAAGGTAAACTATTTTTCTGTCCTCACCTTTACAGTAACGTGGAAGTAAAAAAAAAAAAACTAATTTATGTGGTGGGGGGATGTCTTCTTTCTTCTATTTGAAATCAGTATGTTATTAGCTGAACAATAACTAAAATTGGGCCCCCAAAATATGGGCAGGGGCATTAGCAGTAGAACTTTAGGGCACTTACGTACAAATGCTTACCCATGTACATATTGCTGTTGGCATCTAAGGCAAGCTGCGGAGAGTTACAGGGTCGGTATTTGCAGTGGAGGTGCCAGTGTTAGGTGGTTCTTAGAATAGGTGAATGTTTTTGCAGAGGAGTTCTTAAAGAAGTTTTCAATTCCTCTGTTATTTCTACTGCCTGCATTTACTTAGTCTGAGAAATCTTCTTGTTAGCACTCTTTTTGTGCTTGCAGTCTGAAGTTTAGGTGTAAACTCGTAGACACCTGGCAGAACTTTTGCCTTTTCTGTAAAGTAGATTTTGTCTCGTTTTTCTCAGCAAGTCTCTATATGCAAAATCACTTTTTGTCTACTAAAAGAAACTTGATTATTAGTCTTGGTTCTTTTTTAACAGATCAAGTAACCTGTTTAGCATGTGGAATAATAGCATATGGAGAAATGCAGCTGGCAGCCTTAAGCACATAGTTACTGTATTGGACATAAAACTCTCAAGATTTTGACAGTATCTTGGGAGAACCTGAAACTGTATTTAGGTTGCCTTGACGGTTCCTTTAATTAACCTAACTGGTGCTATTTGCTTGAATTTGTCGGCATGATATGGACTAAATTAAAAGTGTCTTGAGCATTTATTTTGCTTACAGTTCTATGGGCATATGCAGAAAATAGTTCCTCGTAATCGGTGGCTTTAGCGGGTCGAAAAAAAAGTCTCTTTCGTGTCTAAGTAAGTTTGTTCACTAAAAACAAGCCACATCTGCTGTTAGCTGGTTCCTAGTTTTGAAGGAGGGGCACCATAGTGAGAAGGACAGCTGTGGCTCTCTGTGTTGTCTTGCAGGACATGCGTGTGCCCATTGCTCCCAGTGTCGAGGCAAATTCTGTTCGTCCAGTTCAACTGCAGGTGCTGCTGTTGGACGGGTGCTGCGGGAGCTAGAATCTGGGCCGTTGTGTGGGTGTTAGGGGTGGGTGATTTTTAATAGCAGCGTTGTGTTCAAAAGGGTTTGTATTTTATTTAATTTACTTTCACACTTACCAATCCCGGTGTATATATTTGCAGTCCTAATGACCTATTTTTGCAATAGCTTAACATTACCTTTGTAATGAGAAACTTAAGGCCAGGGAGCCTTTTGAGTTTCACACCTAAATAATTTTTTTTAATAGTTCATAATTCCTTACTTTTATTAATGATTAGTGCTTTCTGGTTTCTAGTCCTTAATATGGATAGTCCAGATATGAACAATTTTTGAAGCAGTTTCCTGCAGATTAAAGTGAATGCGTGCATAGAGCCACAATCTTCATTTATTGCTCTAATAAATCATTGTTTCGCCAGAGATAACTAGTCAGACCATTCAAGGTGGATCCAGACGATCCTAACAGAAATTTCACTGTACTAACAAACTTGTGACTGATCATTCTCTCATACTCTCCCCCTAGAGGATGCATCTGCCTGGATTCCCTTTTCCCAGCAGAGCGAGTTCCAGCTTTTCCTTTTGATAAGCATATCTTTTTCACAGTTTTTCCTACACATTTCTGTCACAGATCAAGAATCCAGAGTTAACCTCTGAAATAGTCTCTGCTGGCTTCTACAAAACTTTTCATGCCCTTCATATATAATTTTGTGTAGAAAAATGCACGGTGTAATATTCAGGTCTGCTGTTTTCAATTAAGCTGTATTAGGTAACTAAGATCTTCTTTCATATCCCATAAGAAAGTATCAATATCCAGATGGCAGTGTGTTGGGATAAAACAGCTACAGACTTGGCTGCTGCTGTAAAGCCAAGAACTAACATTTTAGCCAGCATGATAAATAAAACTGAGATTGTGACTCTTGGTGTATTGGAGTTGCACTAAATAATGCTACAGTACTGTTTATTACTGGTTTCATTGGAAAATACGCAGCTATAAAACCTGCTTGAAGCTTTTATTAAGAATACTCTGTCACTTTAAAAAGATGCCTACAACAACTTTTTAATAGTAATAGTGCAAGAATTACTTTGTTTATGCTGACTTTCTGTCTGTTATACTAGTCTCTCCAAGCTTCTGCATGCTCTAAGTCGCACGGGCACGTCTTGGGAAGAAGACGGTTCTGTAGAGCCTAGGTTTGAAAAATTACTTTTAAGGTATTTTTGTTTTGCTTGCTTTCTGCATTGTCTTAAGTTTATTTCAGCACTTACTTTCTTGCTTCAGTTAAACTTGAGCTAATACTCTCTAGGTAGAAATTGTGCTGCTGTGTCTGCAGGCAAGAGTTATACCAAGCTAACCCAGATAGTTGTCTGAGAAGAGGTTGCAGAATGGGTGAGAAAATGTTATACTGGCTGAGAAGCATATGGGAAAGATTTGGTGGTAGGGAAGGGTCACTAGGAATCTTGAATCCTGGAATTTTTTCCTCATTCACTTTCTGGCACGTCATATGACCTAGGTTAGTTCTTGTAACCTCTTTGCCTGTTTGTCTAACTGGAACCCTCTGAATTTCGCAAACATTCAGATTTAAATTGCTACCCATACTCATAACTTACTAGACTGCTATTCTTTTGAGCAAAAGCAAGTTATTATAATTTGTGTGGTATTATTTATTCATTAGTAAAACGCTGTTATATTTCCATATTCCACAGATTATGGTGTGCCTCTTAGAAAGTACAGAATTGAACATCATCCAGTGGGATCTGGTAATAACGTTGTGGGATTTAACAAGTCGGCAAGATGAATAGGTGAAGAAACTAGAGTATGTATTGCTCAATCCATAATCCCTGTATGTAAGAGAAATTTGCTGTCTCAATTAGTTACAAATATTATCTTTTCCTTCCATTGCCATATTCTCCATCTGTCCCTTCTTCACCTTAGTAGAATGCCAGCAAGAGAAGAAGCAGTGAGCTCGGCAGCGAGGAAAGTGAATCCAGCAGTCCATCCTAGCAAGCACGCCCGAGTACAGGAGGAGACCTCATACAATAAGCCAGAATGTGCATTTTAGCTTGCAGCCTTCTTTAACCATGTTAAGTCCTATTGAAAGCTACTAGTAAGTGGTTTGTTTTGTGTATGTTATGATTAATTCATTAAGTAAGGCATTACAGTGGTGGCAGAATTAATATTTCCAGGTACATTAACTGTAGTTTGTTTATGTTGAGAGAATCACATGGAATAGATGGCAAACTTTGCAGTAATTTTTTTTTTCCCTCCTCCAGATGACCTCAGTGAGCCTGGTCTAAGCAATGCTGAAGAAGGGAAGAACAGAATTGGAAGGCAGGAGCTGTTTTGGAGGTGTCTTCCATAATGTCCAAACTTGAAGATTTTATAAGCTGCATTAGGTAGAGTATTGCTAATACTGTAATATTACCAGTAATGCTGCATGATGTAACTGTGAGGGCACTGCTTTATTGTTGTTGTCAATTGATCATGTGGAGCTGCATTTAATAAATGAACATGTATTAGTGATTAAAACGAACATTGAGTGAGAGCAGTAAATCAAAAAGGTGGGTGCTAAAGGAAAATAATACTAGATTTTTTTTTAAGCTAGCGGCTGTCCTTTTTCAGATCTTTCTATAACACACAGTTCTTCTGTGACTTGAGAAAGGCAGAATTAAGCAAATACCTTTTCATTCAAGAAACTACAATAATTCTTCTTAGCCAAAATGACTTCTATTGTCTCCTTCACAGTCTTTTAGCTGTTAGAGCATCTTAATGCATTGTCCGGCAGAAAGGAGCGCTTGTGGTGCTGGCCCAGGAAGTCTCCATAAACATCTGCAGTGCTGCAGCGGATGCTGCCATTTCTTCTCAGGGCTTTCTTCACTGGGGAGCAGTTGTGCAACATCCACCGCGGTGCAGCCCTCCGTGACCTCCTGCTCCCAAAGATGGAATTTGTGCGTCTCTTTCTGTTTGGAATTTGTGGGAGCTCCCTCCTGGGCCAAATAATTCTCAAATATTGCAGGAAAAGATCTGGCACTATTGTCTGGGAGATGTGACTAGGTGACTGACTTAATTAGCATTAACATTTATTAAGTGCCTTACAACGGAGGGGAAGAGTTGTTGTCCTCGTTTTTTACAAGCAGGAGAACGAGCATGCAGGAAGAATGGATCTCTTCTATCTTCTCTGATTTTTGACCCATCTAATTGGGTGACTGTCATGAGCAATAACAACCCGACTCAGGGGAATGGTGCTGGGGAAAGCTGCCGACCTGTTCAGTGTGGCACACTGCTTCTCCCTCCCAGAATGGCTTAATGTGGTAGGCAGGGTCTTCCCCCTGCTTCCCCCTGTGAGTGTCAGTTGGCCACCGAAGAGATTTAAAAGGGCTGATCAGCCTGAGGCTGTCCGTCTATCTGATAGTTTCATTCTAGATCTCATCCAGGGGAAAAGAAACGTCTTCCACAGTGTGGTACTGTGACTCGTTTCTAGGAGCTGCTCCTGATTTTCTAGCTATTTCTTTCCCCCGCCGCCTGCTTCCCTTTCACAATAGAGTGGCCTTTCCCCAGGATAAGTTGATTCACTTCACAGATGTTTGTTGCTGTTTTCCTGCACTTGGGTAGCCTCTAAGACTGTAGCTGTTTCTTCTGGGCTGAGATTTTAGTTTTCTTTTTTAATTGTTTATTTTACTAAGAAGAGGATCTCTCCAGCTGCTGCAAACAGTGGTTTTTATACGTATCGGTAGAGTTTGTCTTAGAGACATGTGGCTTCCATGCAGAAGATAGAGACTTAAAGATGTACTTGAAAGCACCGCTGACTTTCAGAGGTTCTTTCTTAGATTTAAAATGTGCCCTCTCCTTTTCTTGTTAAGAACAGTGTTAAGGAAAAGATGCGATATTCTTTTGCAAGTGAAGTGAGAATAACTCCATCTTTTTGATTGCTTTTTTTCCTCTCTGAGTCTCACAGTTGCAAGATAAATACTCAGAAATAAGAGTTGGTAAGGTTAATGTGGTGAAAATGAATATGTGATAATGAGTTCTACGCGTTAAAGATTAAGAGCTCAAATCATAGACTCCAAAGTGAAACTCTCCATAAGCAAGAGGGAATTTTGCTTGTGCAAGGAATGCAGGCTTAGGCCCGCAGTTGCACAATAAGTTCATTCTGTCTGTTGCTTTTCTATCTTGACTGAGCTGCCCATAGGTGTCTCAAACGCTGCAATGTTGGGGTGAAAATGGAGTCTGGGGTGAGGCGGGGGGGCAGTGAGTAAATAATTTCAGTCCAAGTGTTAGTGTTCCTCTATAAAAATGGATTAGTTTTAACACAAGTGATTCACATTTACAAAGATCTGTTGATAGCATTTTTGACTGCACAGTAGTTCTTTTATTCCTTATGTGTAAATTAATCCTTCATGCAAATTTAATTCCGTATGCAACAGTTAATCTCTGTTGAAAATATATTTTCGGTTAATTTATGTAGCGTATGACTCTCTGCTACTCTGCAGTGGTTACCTACATTAAAGTTGAGTTGGTGTGTGCTTAATGAAAATTAGACGTGAAATGTAATATCTAGAGGACAAAGAAGCATTGAAGTGTATTGCTCTTAAAGACAAAGGTACTTCAGACAGTTTTTCCTTTCTTAATCTCTTGAGGATTTGATGCGTTAATTCTGTTATGAGCAATTTGGAGAGAATGAAATTTAAATATTTTTAGAAATAGTATTAATACCAGATATTATTGCATACCTAGCTTCATTTTAAAACACACGGCATTTTGAGAGGCTAGTTTATAGAGAATCTCCTGTTGAGGAAGATCAACACCTTAAGCCTTTTGGGCAGATACAAGTAGAGCTGTTAAATCTGTGAAATTTGCCAGTGCTGCAACCCTTTGAGTAAAATGTTTATTTACATAACAGCGATGGCATTTCTCCTCCTTTTCCTTGTGGTTTTGTCCAACTGGATGTTATGAGTGGCAGTTGCAGTGACTGCTAAGTGTTTAAATGATGACACCATTATGTGAAGTGATTTTTGAAATGAGAGATTTCAGCCAAGACTTACATCTGCTCTCATCTCCTTCAAATCATACTCTCTGGCTGTGCAGATTATGATTGATTTGTTTGTGACAGATTGCAGGAAGCAGTCATTGATTTTTCAATATTTTACCTTAAAATTATTTACAGTTGTAACCAAGGGGAGGTATTTCCATGGGCTGTCAGCCCCTGAAAGACTGGGATAATATTCCCTGCTCCCTGACAAGACAAATTACCCGTAATGAGTGCAGTAGCTGAAGGGTATACTTTTATTTTAAAATATGTCAATAACCCCAGTGACTAAACGAATATTGATTCAGCATAATGAAGCCTGAGTAATGTGAAAATGAGCTCTTCAAGGAGCATGGTAAAGACTTTCTTTTTAGCTTGTAGCAAGAAGCTTTTCATTCTCTGCTGTTAGGTAGTGAAAATATGTGGTCTTAAGTCATCCTTGAACAGTAATAATATGTAGCGTAAGGTAACAAAAGAACTTCCTTTTATTTATTTATTTTTTTGCAAGCTCTTTTTCTTCTGTGCAGTTTAGCAGATCAGTTGACTGAAGAGAAGAATGCAGGTTATCCCGGGCAAAGATAAAATCACTATTGGTGTTAATATCTTTTGCAATAATATTCTTCAGCCAGCCTAATGGCATTTTTTCCAGTGGATTACGCATATATGAGCGTGGAAATGTATCTAAATAAACTGTAGATTTGATTTCTTATTATTGGCTTCTTGGGCGTATTGATGTGTGTTCTATATGATCGGTCTAATGTTCTTGTCCTTTAACAATTTAGAATAGCTGGTTTATGAGAACCGAGGTATACTGTGATATAAAACTTAGTTACGGTAGTGCACATTTTTCTTTCTGGTGCCTTGTAACACTGCATGTTTCTTACCAAATGAGAATTTTCAAGCAGTAATTCATTTAAATTACAGTAATTTATGCAGTGCCATAGGAGTGGTGTGGCAAAGCATATAACAGATTAATACAGATGTACTTCAATTGTTCAGCATAGGGATTAGATTAAAAGGTATGCTGAGGTACAATTTTTTTAACTTTAAAAATATTGAACATTAAAAATTATGATTTGAAAAGATCAGTTTTTTCACTTGTATTTGAACACGTGGTGTGACATTTTGAATGCTCCGTAAAAGCACTGGATATAAATAGCTGTGTAATTCAGACATGCACAAAGATATTTTGTGGGGTGTTTTTGTATAATGTATAGCCAGAATATTTAGCGAACCTGTTTAGCTGGGCGCAAAGATGACTTTCCTTATTTTCTGAGGGCCAGCTTCAACTGCATTAAAGTAGCTTGTGAAAATCTTCAGAAAGATGTTTTTCCTGTTGGCACACAGGTGATCTTTGCAAATATCATTCCTCTAGTATGGCTTAAAAGGTATTTCAGGTGACACTTGAACCTGTGGCATGACAGGTTAAATGGCAACCCTGGAACGTGAGATATGCTAGCATTTCTAATTTGTTAATTTGCAGAAGAATGTGATGTACATTTGTTAGTTTGTGAGGGTTTGTGCATAAAACCTGGGATTCGCAAAATAGCGGAGAATGGTGAGGGAGTAATAACCTCAGCTATAGAAACAGCAGTGACAACGGTAGAATTTGGGACTCTTGGAGATCGAGATTCAACTGGTAACATTACACAGCTCAGTGCTATTTTACACATCAGTCTATGCTGAACTGCTTGGAGAGAGATAACCCTAAAAGAGTATGTAGAGGTCCCAAGATGTTTTGAGTCTATCCTAACTAGAGCGGTTAAAAGTGCATGGCTGACTTAATGCATGAGTATTGAAATATGTGTGGAATTATGGAAACAAGTTGAGAAACAAAGGCTGAATTGATTGGTAGTTATATTTGCTTTCTAAATGCTGAGGAAAGATGTATTATGCTTTCCCTTCCCTTTTAAGGAAGGTCCACTGTGCCCTTTGTTTGTTTGTTTGTTTTAACTTATCTTTTAATATAAAGCGTCATTTCCAAAATGAAGTAATGTCCTTGGGCTGGTGGCAACAGCTGGAGTTGCAGAATTCATAAATAATTCAGAGAGGGATAAAGGGTAGGGTTTTTTGTCATTTGAATCTTTATTATGTGCACACATTTCATTTTAGATACGGCATCGTTTGAATTCATTCAGTATGATGATTGCACTGACCTGTCATATTTATTTTGATGTCCCTTCGAAGGACCATATGCTCCATCCTTACAATACTCGGCATGAAAAAGGATGCAAGTTGCTAACTAAAAAGGCAGCTAAAATCCTGCGTGGATGAAGATCCTTGCTTCCTGTTGCCACATCAGTAGATGTACTGCTGCAGTGCAGTAGAAGAAAGTGTAGTTCTTAAGCCGATGCAGTGACTAAGTGGCTTCATAGTGTAGTGGAAGGTGGAAGAAATCAGTGCAAAAATTATTTGCATCGAGGTGTTATTTGGTATTTGAAAGGGCGGCTGTCACTAAGGCCCAGTTGGTGTGAAGAACCTGGCATGTGGAAGATGGAAAATATTGAAGCCAACTAGAAATCTGCCATGATGGAGGTGTGCCATGGTAGCTTTGGTGTGGGAATGCGGTTAATCACTCTGTGCTTGGAAGTGGGATTGTCATGCACAGAATCTTCCAGGGATGCACTGGAGTTAGTCTGGTTATGCCAGGCTCAGGTCTTTTTCTTTGACAATCCAAGTGCTCCTTTCCTCTCAGAGAAATTGCTTGCTTATCCAGACAAAATTTTGGTTAATGCTTTTGGGAAAACATGCTGTGGTAGTTTTCCGTTTCTCTAACTCTGTTGTGACTGTCGCATCTGTTCCTGCACTCATTTCTGTGGAGTATGTTTTCTAAAAGGTAGAGAAATGTAACAGTTTCAAGTTCAGCCATGTACACTAAGTAATTAACTGCATGATAATGAGTAATGTCTAATTCTTACTAGTTAATGAACTAGCAATTCATAGTTGTTAGATAATAGGACCATGTTAATGTTACCTTTGTATGCACTATTAATGTGGCAGGATGCAACCACTACTACAATATTTTCACAGTATAAGGTGTAATTGCAGCAGAGAGTGGTGATTTGTATGAAGTAGATTGTCCATTGTACTCCTGTCAGTGGTAGAAGAAAGCTAATTAAGTGCAAGTTAGTGAAATACAATAACTAGAAGCTGTGAATGGGAATGATAACTGTATGCAAAATTGTTTCTTTTCTAGATCCTGCCCTCAATGACTGAGCCTCCCTGAAATCTTATCAGTTACTGCCGAGATGAGAAGGATAACAGGAAGGAAGATTGCTTAAGTGGTTTTAATGACAGTTAATTTCATCTATTTATCAAATGACAGGTTGTTTTTTTTCCCTCAAAACTCATTTGTCCTGACGAGATGCTTTTGTAAGTCATCTTTGTAAAATAAAACTGACAATTTTAGGCTACAAAGAGTTATTGTAATCTCTCTGTACAATGTTGTCACTATGGTAAACCACTGGAAAATCTGTATTTTTGAAGTAATTTAACTTGCGTACTTTACTCATTTGTTTGAATGTCTGTTGAATGCCATGTGAGAAGTTTCTTTCCAGAGTTCTTCTATTCAATAGGACAGTTATTCTTAAAATGCTCAATATGTTATTGTCTAAATTACTGTTGCCTTAGCCTCCCACAAATATGTTTCTTTTCAGTAATTCTTAAACAAATAAGGAATGAATGAGTTTTTGTCCCCTTCCTGTTTTGAATGGCATATTTTTCCTTTTAGTGAAAGCTTCTTCAGTCTTCAGAATGACACTATTACAAAGAAAGGTGCTTTACTTTTTTGCTTTTTCCAACAGAAGGTGTCTTTGGGTGCAGTGATTTTTGAATATGTACGCTGTCAAGATACAATTACTGGAAGGAGAGACAAACTGTTGAGAATGTCATGCCATACCAAATTAAGAAGTATTAGCTCTTACTTTGTGCAGTCTCTCCAACTAGAATTGGACCTGTTGCATCTGGCGTATACTTTGACTCTAGTGGAATAATGTGTCCTTGGAGTTGCGTTTTAGATTAACCTCAGATTTATGTTCTCTTCACAAGTCTGCTTTAAACTGCTGGGATTAACTTCAGAGAAGGCAAGAGGTACAGCCTCCTTTGTCAGCGGCGATGCTGGTTAAAGAAGGGGACTGCATGCGTTCTCTCTCCTGGAGCTTCTTGTCCCCGCTAGGCAAGCGGGCTGAACTGCTTCCATGAGCACACCCAGACTTACTTCAGGCCGTGATAATCAGGTTATCAAATATTACTTAACTGGTAGTTTGATTTGTTTTGACAAAAAGGCAGGGAGTGCACAGATCAGCTGCCAAGATGGCACAGCTGGGGGAAGGTGTGTTCACAGGAGGTATGTTGAGCATAGTCTCATGGTGGCATAGTCTTTTCATCAGGTGCAGTTACATCTCTTAAGAGGATGTGACCAAAGTTTTATGTGTTGGAAAGTTGTACAGTTCTGTCAAGTATATTTTTTTTTCATGCTTCAGGAGCACACTCGATAGTTCAAAATATACCTGTGCTCCTTTACTTAGTCCTTGTGCTCGACGGAGTCGGTGCGGTGATGACAGAGGAGGCACACACATTTCAGGAAAGTTTATATTTGTGGTCAACATGAGTGAATGGTGCAAGTGTGTCTGTACTTAGAGAACAATCTGTTGGTCTTTACTCATCAAAGTTTTGATACGCAGTGCCCTGAGCTGCATTTAAGGGAGGGGGGGAAAAAAACCAACAATAAAACCCAACCCACAACAGAACACCCCTACTCCCCTGTGGTCTGCACTGCTGCTTCTATGATGGTGCTGCTGATGCTGGTGTCTGGTGAGGCATGCAAGCTTAAGGGCCCTGCTCTTGATGTTTCCTATGTCAAAATTAGAACAGGATGGATGATCTCCAGTGGTGATCATCCCAGTGATGGAAGATCCAGTGGATGAAAGTAGTGCACTAGACGGCTCCTTCAAAACTGGCTCTTCTCACAAGAAGGCTGTCAAATACAGGTGCTGTCCCGCAAACAGGGCTTGAGAATACGAAGAGTAAGAGGCTTGCCTGGTCCATCAGAAACCTGAGAGCAGCAACTCTGCTTGTGCTATGTCTTAGGGCACTGCTAGAGGAAAAGAAGTCAGTTCAGTCACCTCCAGCTCCGCAGCATTGAATTAGATTTCCTTTAGGTGGTCCTGCACTAAAGGAGGAGGAAATGTGTGCTAGCCTCTGTCTCACCTACTGTAAGTACGCTGAATTAGGGAGGAAAATAACGTACTACTGTTGGAAAGGAACTGGTGTAAAAGGGATAGTCCCAAAGTGCAGGAACAGAGCAGTTTCCCCAGGCTGCTCTGTCCTCAGCTGCGCTACCCTACCGTAGCGCCCACGCCTTCTCTACCCTAAACTCCTTTGGGCCTCAGGAGTCGAGTCGTGGGATGAAGAGATGGGGCACGAGGATTCTTAAGACTGATGCTCACAGAGAAATTTGGGGACACGCACTAACTTAGAAGTCACTAATGATATTGATATGTAAGAAGTAGTAGAGATGATGTGGCAGGCAGTGTGCACAAACGTATTGTTTTCCTGCCAAGTTTTGAGCTAACTTGGCTTTGTACTTCTATATACTGTAAAACGTTGGACTTCTCAGTCAGATTCTTTTACTAGCCTACGCTTGCAGCTTAATGCTCAGTGCGTGCATAGTTCAGGGAGGCAGAAAGCCAACCACATAGTTTCCAAAATTCTCAATTTGCCACTGGTTCAATTTGTGCAAGCCTAAGGTGAAACGGGGTGTGGTTCCTGGTTTGAGAGCTCTGTAGTGGCGTCCTCGGGTCAAGCCGCTGCTGAGCTCTCAGCAGCCTTGCTGAGTACGGGGTACTGACAGCGAGGAAGTGAGGTACCTCATCCAAAGGGCTGCTCTGACGTCTCCAGCAACCTTTAACTCAGGGGAGCTGAGCATCCACAGCTCTCTGAGACAGGCTGTAATTCATATAATCCTATTATGTTAATACAGACTACTGTAGAACCATGTTGAAATAGTTACTGAGATGCTTGTAATTTCCTAATAATCTTTTTTACCTGCTCGAGTGCCTATATATAATAACACCATAGAGCTATATATCTATATAACCATATATGTATAATTCCATATTGCTATATATATAATGCCATATATGTACAATACCATATATCTGTATGTGATTAAACCAGTATTGCAAAATAACTTCTCTCTTATATAGAGCACTGTCATAGCTATGTTAAGCCAATGACTAAAACTTTACTTCTGAGCACTTAAAATGATCAAATACTATACTTAAGACTATCCTACTGTTTATGTAGGACTAAAAACAAAATGCAGGTTTGGAGCAGTTATTTTTTTTTCTTACAAATACTGCAAATAAGAGGTTGGTTTCAAGTAGACTTCCTGGCTTTACACTGATTGCTGCCTTCTGTATGAATGTATCAGGATCCCAAGCATTTCATAATGTGCTTATTATTTCAAGCACATGATTTGTATGTATTTTCTCCATAAATATGTTGGACAAAACATAGTTTACCGTCTTAGTTGGTACTGGGCATTTACTTTCTAGCTCCTTTAACTTCAATTCAAACTTGGTTGAATAAAATACAGCTCATTCCTGAAAATAATCTTTACACCTGTAGTATGGTGATTGATTTCATGACTATTTTCATACTTCAGACATAGCAAAACATTTCCGAGGCATTATGCGTTGACAACATATGGAGATAAAAATCAGCTAATGATAAACTCTATGGTGCAAACTTTTAATGAGAGTAATGAGTAGCTAGAAATGTTTAGAAAGGGAATAGTAGATTTTCTATCATTTGAGGTCTTTGAGTGAAGATGGAATGTCTTTACAGAGGTATGTGCTTGAACAAATGACTGGGTGAGGTACAGGAATTCCTAGCTGGGTCTGTGGCTCTCATTACCCTTGGGGTCAGCCTAGATTACTTTGGAGGTTCTTACGGTTTAGAAGAGAGGAAGGCGTCGATACTCCAGGTTTAACAAATATCTCTACAGAAGAGCAGCTTCCACTGAAAAGTTTTGAAAAGTTACTTAAACTTCTCTTTTTTTTAAAAAATAAAAAATAAAAAAAAAAGCTGGGGGCTGTCACTTTACTAATTTGGCAAGTTTCCTGCCTTCTAACTTCATGTCTTTTTCAAAGATCCTTATTCACCTGGCTGCTTCATGTGGAACAGTGCAATGTTTCATTGGCTTTAGGTGGGTTTCATTCGTTCATCCATGCATCCTTTCTTCGACTGTCTATCTTACACCACCTGTTTTCAACAAGAGCCTGAGGTTTCTTGGGTAATTTGAATGTTTTGCACTGAAAGGCTTTTTAACAATATTTCTGATGCTTTTGGTTTGTTTTGTAGAAGTAGAGTCTAAGTACCCAAACACTGTGAATGTGCAAAATATATATTTCTGTAGAATCTCAACTTCCTCTTCTCTGTTCCACCCGAATAAATCAACCAGCACATGAAATATTTTTCAGAGCAAGTGTCTTTTGTATATTTCTACAAAGTGTAATGTTATCTTGTCACTAGAAATAATTATTTGGTTTAAAATAATCTGGCAGCCTCCTGCAGTACATAAATTAGGTTTGTTCTCTACTAAGATTAGTTCTTTAGCGTCCGTTCACAGGCACATCGCCAAAAAAAAAGATCGCAAGTTTATCGTATCCGGTTATTTTTCCTTTTTTCTTTTTAATGGGCTTTTTTGTTGCTGTGCTGTCACCAAGGTTGAAATAAATGTTTGCAAGTCATTTACGTTTCTAAGTTCTCTATAGCCTGGGGAGATGAAATGGGCTCTTCTGTATCATGAAAAGACTTGGGGGCATAAGCATCTGGAGAAAGGGAGGGTTTTTTTGCACTTAGATTTCTGAATCTTGTGCACCTTTGCTTTTGGCTAGCTTGGATAGTATGTATTCTACTGGAAGCAATATGTTATCAGTGGAGTCCAAAATGCCAGGTATAATTAGCTTGTATGTTTAAAGATACAGTTTAAAAAAAAATATATATATATATATATGTATGTATGTACTAGCCTGCTTTCATGCAGAAGTACATATTTTACATGGCGAAAATGCTATGTGAATCCAAAAAAAGCAGAAAAGTAATTTAAAGTTGTGCACTCGTGTTTTAGATATGAAAAATAACTGTGACTTTTATTTCTTTGTTTACGATTTATTAGGGTTAGAGTTTTAAAAGCCTAATGCAGACTGTGAGTGCTTTATGGTCAGTCACTAAGAATTATGGGCTCAGCATGATTCACGTTTTTGTTCGCCAGTATATCCATTATTGTTAGATGCTGAGTAGTTATTGCACATAGATGACTGATTTTTTGGTATTTTACATTTTTACAAGTTCAGAAAAATACTTCGTTAAAGCAGCTCCTGGGTGAATGGGGTAATTAAAGAACTGTACCACTTTTATTGAAGTTGACACATACTGCATGTTCTTTAAAACTCTGTATGTGAGCAGAATGTATCCAGGATTTATTGAAGTCAGACACCTAGAGATACTGGGAGAGCTTTTAATAGTGGTAGAGAGAACTTCAATTTTTACACTGTAAATAAATCTGTCTTTAGGAAATGGGCTATTATTGCAATATACTGCTCGTATCCTTCATATTTTCTATGTATATATTACGTATATGCAAATCTAGAAATGCTTAAGACCCAAACAGTTATTTGTCAGTAATTGTCTACTCTGTTTAATAAAAAATAATGTGATAACACTGACTAAGAATCTTAATTTTCTTGGTACCAGTGGAAATCTGGACTTTATTTTTTTAACTGAAATGCAATCCTGCTTATTTCGAATTGCAACTTCTGGTGTCTCAGAGTTTAGTGTAGCAGGTGAGGAATCTTACTTAACCTACGCTGCAGACTTAGTTTCATTCTAAATAAGATAATGAATGCAGTGTTCTGCAAGCCTAATACTTTGCAGTCTGTGAAAAAGTAGGCATGTAATTGCAAAGCACAGTGACGAAACACATTATAAATGAATTTCCTTAAGAAGTCTACCGAATAGGTATAATTACTGATCTTGCTGTTTTTAGTAGCGTGATCCTTTTCCTTTCTTTTTCTCTCCTTTTCCAGCGTATTGCAACAAATGTGCAATTAGTCTGTCTCTCCTGTTAACAATTCATGTCTTAAAACCATCTTTAATGTTTCTATTTTAAAGTTACAGTGGTAACGCATTTAAGGCAGAGTTAACAAACATGGGAGTTTCGGGATCAGAACATTTTCTTTACCTCACTTCCATGTAGCTATTTGTTTACCAGGCCCACGGCATGGCGGGCTTTGCCAAGTACACTCACCTCCTGTGGTTTTAGAGAGACTTGAATGATCAGAGCCACATGCAATTAAACACACAGCATTATCAGTGTTCATGCTTTCTGTAGATACAGACACAAAGTACTTTCCTGAATGAGCAGGCAATGGTGAAAAATATCAGAGGGCGAGATTCCTCTGCTGTAACTCTTCTGAGTAACCCCAGAGCATAACTAGTACTGTCAGAAGTAGCCCCACCTCCCTCAAAGACAAGTGGTGCCAAGTGTGTGGAAGTGTAATAGTCTCGTGCCCCCTCCCGCAAGCAAAGGGTGGCAGCAGGTCACACAGGCAGGCAGGGATGAGCAGGGTGCGGGAACCGGAGCTGGGCAGAAGGGAAGAGAGGTACTGAAATAGCACTAGTTCTTCTTTTGGGGATGCTTCTTCCAGTTTAAAGTACAGCCATCTTCATTACCATGCTAGGAGAAAGTCTCAGCAAAGTATCACAGTGGTTGAAGATGCTTTTTTTTTTTTCAAAGTCTCCTTTTTGCATAGCGATAATTGAGTCACAGTCAACTTTGGACTATGAAAACCTGTTGATCTGTGTAAAGGTTTTTTTTTTTTTTAACTTTTTGAAATGCTTTTAGTGTTAAATTCTTGGCAATGCACTCTGGACTGGCTCTCTACCTCCCAGTTATGCATCACCTATGTGTTGTATGATTTTAGAGTAGAAAGTTGCCCACACTCTTCAATTATCTAGCTAAACCTTTATACCTTCACGTGCATATTCTGGAGTGTCGAACATTTGTAGCTTAAGTACCTTTCAGGCATTATGTTTGAGTTAGTATTGCATACTATTAAGATATAATAAAGCACATTGTTAAAATGCGTGTTGAAAGAATATTATTCATCAGCTACAAATAAAAATGCAAATTTTTTTAAATTGTACATTTTTTGCTACTTTTTCACAGTAGATTTTGCATTGCAATGTGGAAGGGGGAAGAAAAGGTTAGTTTCACTTACTGGGATACATGAAGTGCTATTATGCATTTGTGTCTTGTATTTCTAGGATATTTTATTGTATAAAATGAAATGGACTTTTTAGTTTTTGCATTTTGTTACGTTTGCAGTAGAAGTTTTTTTATGCCTGAATGTCTGAGTAAGAAAGCTAGGTATTTTTAACTATCCACGTATTCCAACAAATTCATCTTCTGGCCATCTTTTCATATATGGTTCTGCAAGTTGAAAACCAAAAAATTGGTTTATAAACTGCTTGCATGTTTTAATATTATGAGTCAATTGTGTAAGTGTAAACTACTAACTAATCCATAAGAGTTTATGCAGGAGAAAGCTCTTTAATCAATACTTCTAGTTTCAGGTGTGAAAGAAAGCAAAAATGACGTCTGAAAAATTTGAGAGGCCTGGTCTTTCGTAGTTGAAGATTCACTCTACTGTAAGTCTGATGATCATGTACGCGGACCATCTCCTTCCTGCTAATTAGGCCTCAGAAACATGGTCTCTAGAAATGGGTTGCAGAAGTTTTTTTGAAAAACCGCTACACCTTCATAAATAAGGAAACTGTATTGTGTGTAGCTATTATACAATGCTCGCTTGGCAGACGATAATTTAATAGAACAACAATGATCAGACCAGTATATCAGTTAATTTTCAAAACATTTTATTCCACACAAATTAGCTCAGGTCCTGGAGGGCAAAATGACAAGAGGTTACTCGTACACTATGTATTTAATTAATTGAAAAATGCTCAAATTGCTTTTACAGTTGTTATTAAAAAGTAGAATCAG